TATATTTCACCAGAATTAAAGTAGCATTTTTCTGAAATAGATTGCGATAAATTAAATGCAATTGTAATCCTTGGAGCAACCACTGAGAAAATAAAATGAAGATAATTGAAATTGTTATGTTTTAACTGAAAATATAATTATTTAACACAAAATAAGGCAGTAAAAGAGAAACAAAAAAGACATTAAGCAAATACAAACAAATAGAAAAGGCAGGGCCTGGTGGCTCACGCCTGTAATTCCAGCATTTTGGGAGGCCAAGGTGGGTGCACTGCCTGAGCTCAGGAGTTTGAGAACAGCCTAGGTAACATGGTGAAACCCCGTCTCTACTAAAATACAAAAAAATTAGCCAGGCATGGTGGTGCATGCCTGTAGTCCAAGCTACTTGGGAGGCTGAGGCATGAGAATTGCTTGAACCCAGGAGGCAAAGGTTGCAATGAGCTAAGATTGCACTACTGTACTCCAGCCTGGGCAACAGAGCAAGACTCTTGTCTCAAAAAAAAAAGAAAAGAAGAGAACAGAAAAGAAAAATGGCAGGTGTTAATCCAGCCATATTAATAATCACATTAAAAGGGAATGGACTAAAATCTCCATTCAAAAGACAGAGATTGTCAGACTGGATAAAAAAGTAAGATCCAACCAAATGCTGTCAACAAGAGACACAAAGATAAGAAGAGATATCCCAAGCAAACAGTAACCATAAGAGAGTTGGAGTGGCCATATTACTATCAGGAAAAAATAGATTTTAACATAAGAAATGTTATTAGAGACAAAAGAAGTTTTATAATGATAAAATTGTGAATACATTAGTAATTACCAATTCCATATATATGCACCTAACAACAGAACCCCTAATTACATAAAGCAAAAACTGATGAACTTGAAAGGAAAAATAGATAATTCTAAAGTAATACCTGGAGATTTCAATAGCTCACTCTATAAATGCAGGAAAAACACCTGACAAAATTCAGTGCAAATTTATGCTTTAAAAAAAGTTATGGGAGACAACTGGATAACCATATGAAAGAAAATAAACTTAGACTCTTACCTCATACCATATACAGAAATTAACTTCAAACAGATCACATTCAAGTTAAACAAGGCTGAGCATGGTGACTCACAACTGTAATCCCAGCACTTTGGGAGGCTAAGGCGGGTGGGTTAACTGAGGTCAGGGGTTCGAGATGAGCCTGACCAACATGGTGAAACCTCATATCTACTAAAAACACAAAATTAGTTGGTCATGGTGGTGCATGCCTGCAATCCTAGCTACTTGGGAGCCTGAGACAGGAGAATCACTTAAAGCTGGAAGGCAGAGGTTGCAGTGAGCCGAGATCGCACCTTGCACTCCAGTCTGGGAAACAAGAGTGAAACCATGTCTCAAGAGAAAAAAAAAAGTTAAACACACACCAAGCATGGTAGCTTATGCCTGTAATCCCAGCACTCTGGGAAGCCAAAGCAGGTGGATTGCTTGAGTCCAGGAGTTCAAGACCAGATTGGGCAACAAGATGAACTCCTATCTCTAATAAAAAATAAATATTTTTTTAAATTTATTTTTAAAAATTTAAGTTAAACATAGAGTTAGCACATGACCCAGCAATTCCACTCCTAGATATATACCCAAGAGAATTGAAAACATGGTCACACAAAAACTTGAACATAAATGTTCATAACAGCATTATTCATAAGAGCCAAAAAGTAGAAACAATCCAAATGTCTATCGATACAGGAATGTCTTCCATATTGACAAAATATTGTAAATCCATACAATGGAATATTATTTGGCCATAAAAAATGAAGTTCTCATACATACTACAACATGGATGAATCTTGAAAACATTATACTGAGTGAAATAACCTGGGCATTGAAGGCCACATATTGTATGATTCTACTCATGTAGAATGTCTAGAATAAGCTAATCCATAGAGACAGAATCCATAGAGACAGAAAGGAGATTAGTGATTTCCAGGGACTGAAGGGAGAGAAAAACAGGGAGTCACTATGAATAGGTATGGGCTTTCTTTTTGGTGATTAAAATGTTCTGGAATTAGATAGGGGTAATATTTGTACAACTTTGTAAATATACTAAATACACATAATTTTACCTTTCTAAAGTGTAGACTTTATAATATGTGAATTATATCTCATTAAAATTATTTTTTTTAATGGAACACAAACCTAAATGTAAAAACTGGTTATCTGGGACTGGGGTTGGGGCTAGAACTGAGTACTGACTGAAAACAGACTCAAGAGGATTCTTTGGGATGATGGAAATGTTCTAAAACTAGATGGCGATCATGGTTGCTCTTTATAAACTTACTAAAAACCACTGGATTGTTCATTTACCATGGATGATTTTACGGTATGTAAGTTTCACCTAAATAAAGCTGTTTAAAAAATGAATCCAGTGAAAACAGAAATCAAAACATCATAGTAAATAGTTGGGGAGAAGCTGGGATGAGAATTTATCTTAAAAATGAAATAAAGAGGGCCGGGCGCGGTGGCTCACACCTGTAATCCCAGCACTTTGGGAGGCCGAGGTGGGTGGATCACAAGGTCAAGAGATCGAGGCCATCCTGGTCAACATGGTGAAAGCCCGTCTCTACTAAAAATACAAAACATTAGCTGGGCATGGTGGTGCGTGCCTGTAATCCCAGCTACTCAGGAGGCTGGGGCAAGAGAATTGCCTGAACCCAGGAGGTGGAGGTTGCACTCCAGCCTGGGTAACAAGAGCGAAACTCCATCTCAAAAAAAAAAAAAAAAAGAGAAATAAAGGTGGACAGGAGGTACTGGGGTAATGAATGTTATATTTCTTAACCTCTTTATAGGCTATAGTTTGTGAACATTCATTGGGCTGTACTTTTGTGATATATGTACTTTTGTGTATGTATCTCATATCACAATAAAAAGTTTCTTAAATGACATGGGGCCTGGGAGGGGCCATGAATGAGCCAGTTAACGAGTTATAGAAGCTGAGAGGCTCACCTGTACAGCTGCCCTTGGGTCTCTATGAGATTTTCTGCCTTCCTTATTGCCACCATTCTACAGTAATCCCCATTTCTAGAGCTAGCCTGAGCGAGTTTCTGTTTCTTACTATAAAAGAGTGTCATTAATACATCCACAAATACAACTACTGAAATGTCACCTCCAGGAGGGCAGGGGATTTTGTACATTGCTAAATCCCCAGTGTCTTGAACAGTATCTGTCACATAGTAGGTTCTTAATGTACATTTCTTGAATTAGTAAACTAATAAGTAGGGGAATAGCTGTAGAGGCAGGAAGGTGTAGAGCAAGAGACTTGCAAACACAGACATTTTTCAATGTAGCCTGGCCAGCGTCAGGGATGGGGGTCAGAGGATAAATAATGCCTCCTGGGAATGTCAGGAAAATATCCCAGAGGAGGAGACATGAGAGCTGGGTCTTGAAGGATGAGTAGGAGTTTGCCAGAGAAAGAATATAAGAGAGTAGGATAGACAGAAATAAACACAAATAAAATTACATTGTTCTGAAAGAGGCTGGCATTCTTGGGGACCCTAAGAAGGTTCATGTGGCAGAAGGGCAGAGTCACAGTTGAGGACAGGTGAGACATAAAGCTGGATAGAGAAGCTGGGGACAGAGAGAGGGTCACCTATTCCCAGCCAAGACATTTCAACTGACCCCTGCAGGAATCACAGCCAGGAGAGAATTTTCAGCAGGGGTCGAACTGGCTTTTTAGGAAATGCACTTAGTCTGGGGCAAAGAGAGTTTCTCCTCTGAGTTCATGAACCATCTCCTCTGTTGGTACCTACGCATCCTCTCCACTATGTCTCTTTCTTTCTCTGCATTCTCTTCTCTCTCTCCCTCCCCCTGTCCCATGTTTTCATATCTAGATATCTTTTGTCCACCTGTGGATTTCTTATTATTTTTCTCTCAAGACATCATTCCTTGAAAATGTTCCTCAACCCCTTCCATCTTACTTGTGCCCAAACAGCTTTCAGATTCCATCTTCAGGACGCATTCATCTCCACCAGGCTGGAGTCCTTCATAAAGAGTAACACAAGATTTCCTCTTGAACAACAAGCTCTTCCGGATTCACCAGTTACAGATGAGAAGGCTGGAGGAAGGGGAGTGTCTGTGCCACCCTCAACTTGGCCCAGAGAGAGTGAGCTACCACCCTCCAAGGTCTTCATGGAACCAGTGAAGCAGAAACACCATGCTCTCCCTCAGGCATCCTGATGCCTCTCACAACATGAAAGGGGCCAATGGCTCAGAAGCTACTGCCCTTCCATCCTCATCTAGCAAAGCCTAATGCCCAGTTGCTCACATCTCTGACCTTCTGCTCTGAAATGCTTCCTGGTATCCACCCACCCTCCCAGGGGCTGGACAACCAGGTCAGGGAGAAAACAGCCCCTCCACCACGCTGAGCCAGGGACCCCTCTCCAGGACAATTCTCTCCCCTGAGACAAGAGGGTCAAACAGCTCTTCTAGACATGACCTCAGAGATGTGCAACCAGGGACCTGGCCCAATTTATCACGACCGGAGCTATAATTAGGTTTGTTAACATACAGTCGGGTGTAGTCTTGTTGACTAGGAACTTAATCACGTTACTATTGAGTTCCTGTATGCATTGCTCGGGGTGACTGTTTTACTTGTAGAGTTATAGCCAAGCCCAACGGGAGGAAATTAGCTTTGGACACAAGTTTGGAGGGGGGTTCTTTTTCCTCCTGACTTTGTCTCTCTCTCTCCCCCCTTCCATGTGAAAATATTTAGCAAACAGTGACAATGATGAAAAACAGTAGGAAACAAAATGTTCTACATTAGTATAAAACATGAAAAATGTAGAAGGACCCTTAGCGGTACAACATGTGTTATGCTGGCTGGCAGTCCATTAGCTCTGATAGACATTTCACTTACCTAAGTCAAATATAACAGTCGAGTATTCATTAATATAAGAAGGGGCTGTGGAATCAGAGCTACCATCTGGCTGGGCCGACAGAATAATCTACAACTCATGATTAGGTCTAAGGAGTGGGGTTTCACTTTAATCTTTCTCATTGCTCGAAATTTCCATCTGCGCAGTTCGGCACATCATTTTTCTTCAAGACAAATGTGCTGTTTTTCATGTTCCAAAATTAGATCAGAAGAAAACGATTAATCATGTCACGGCCTGGGAAAGGAAACAAAGCTCCGATACTCTCCTGCTCTCGCTCCCCGCTCCCGCCCCTCCCTGGCCCTGGACGGTTGCAAGTTTCGCTTTTCCCCCCCAAAACCTCTGGGTCTACAGTACAACTTTGGGAGAGGCCGCCGCCCGCCGGGAGGAGGAAGGCGGGACTGCAGGGAAAGGCGTGGGGCGCCCCGGGCCCACGAGGGGGCGCGCTCCTGCCTCCTCCCACCACCCCTCCGGGGGTCGCCCCTGCGGGCCCACCCCGCGCCGCCGCCGGCCCTCCGAGTCGGAGTCGTGGGCCCGGCGTGACAGGAAGGGCCCGGAGCCCGCCTCCCGCGCGTCCCCTCCCGGCCGCCGCGGCCCTGTCTGTCAGGCGGCTCGCAAGTCATAACAAATCCCTGGCGCGGGGCTGAAGCTGAGCATTTGCCGGAGCGTCATGGGGATGATGAATGACCCGCAGGCCTTTGAAGTGCTCTGCCAGTTCAGCTGGGTCCGCGGTGCTGACAGAGAAATATACACAACAGCGTAACCAATAATGAGAACATTAAACATTCCTGCGCCGTGACAGGCTGACAGAAAAACCCGGGCCCGCATCAATCATCGCGCAGATAGAACCCTGACAGGCGGCCCCTCGCTGACACCCCCTCCGCGCGCCCTCCCGGGCCTCCCCCTCTTCCTCTCCCAGGTCTCCCCTCTTTCTTTCTCTCCGGGCTCCCCGCCGCCCCTCCTCTCGTCCCCTGCCCCTCCCCTCCCTTCCCTGCCCGGCTCCGTGTCCTCCCCCTCCGCCCCATCCCCTGCCCCTGCCCTCGGGCGACTGCCTTCGGGGCCTCTCAGAGGTCAAGTGAGGTCTGGGCCACGTCCGCTCTGAGGCTGCCGGTGCCTGAACAGTGAAGAGAGGCCACACCGGAGGGGGAACAGTGCAGGCTTTTCAGTTCAGCCTTAACAGTCTGTGGCTTTTCACCCATGCAAAAATAATAATAATACAATCACTTAGATGAAACCTCATGTGGAACTAGGATTACAAGTCGAAAGCCAGGCCCTTGGGGAAAGGGAGCTCCAGGAAAGCCCCGACCGCCCTCCGCTTTAGGGGAGGGTCTTTAGGGTGTCTTCCTGTGTGACTTTGGCAAGGGACCCTTTTCTTTGTGCCAGCCTCCGCCTCGGCGTCTTTCGTTTCAGCCGGATTTATATGACCGAGATCTGATGCCTGGTCTGTCTGAAAGGGAAAAAACAGCGGAGAAACACAAAGATCTCTTCCTTTTCCTCCACCAGGAAATGAGATCTGCCCAGATAAGGCGTGTGGGACGGACTTTCACCCGCTTCCCAAAGGAGACGCTGGTGACCCCTTAGCTCCTCTCCGGAGCCTCAAATCCTCTCCGGACTGAGTCTGGGCTGCGCTTTGCAGGACTGAGCCTCTACTGTGTCCTTGTGAAGGTGGCGCATTCCCCCACCCCTGTCACACACACACCGCCCCTGCCAGGCCCAGTCCCCAGTGCCCCTGAGGACTCAGGGAAGAGCCCTGGGCTGGCGGTCAAAGCCAGGGTTCTAGTCCCAGCCATGAGAATTTGGGCAAGTCCAGAACTTTCCTGGACCGCAACATGAGAACAGAAGTTTCCACGCTGGGGTGCTTACACATCTCCTTACATTCTCCAAATGCAAAGGGTTATTTTTCCCTCCTTTTCTTCTTGGAGATTTTTTTTCCCATTCTTGGCTTTTGAGGAGAGAAGAAACTCCTTGACTTTCCAAAACATCATGAAAAACTCCCATAACCTAACACACGCACACACACACACACAGACGGCGAGTGGACGGCAGCGGCGGGGTTGGGGGGGCACTCTGTGGTCATTCAGGGACAGAGGGTGTTCTGAGAAGTCAGACAGAAGCCTCAGGGTGAGACAGGGAGATCAGTGCTTATATACTGAGAAAAAGCTCCCTAATGGACAGAGCACTTCAAATGCATTTGCATATTTCTTCAGCAGGGCCAGCTCAGGTGTGAAGAAAAGAGGATCTGCTGAGGCCACGTCTCCTCCACATGGCACAGGGTCATGTCCTTTTCTTCCTGCCCACCTGGAAAGGCCAGCTGCACTCCCACTGCCTCCAGGCAACTTGTTCCACGTGGCCTGGCCCACAATGACCTTGCCCTCCTCTCATGTCCTATGACCCCTGGCCCAGATGAGCCTCTCACCTCCTCAGCTAGACCTGAAGGAACTTGAGGGCAGGATAGTGCCATGCTTTGCTGTTCTCTGGGTCACCTGGGACCAGCAAGATATCTTGTTCTGAAATTCCTGCCCTACCCACAGCCCCTTCTCCAACCGAACTGCCCCTACAGGCCAGCTGAAGGGGAAGACTTCCGAAGCCATGTTTGTACTACAAATCCCTAACCCTTGCCACAACTGATGGGTCCAGTATTTAACACCTATCCCTGAACTCATCGGATTCTCCCTTCCTTGAAAATCTGAACTCAGCCACAGTTGGTGTGGAGTTGTCGAAAGTCACATAGGGTTTGGGGCTGGGGTAGCCATTTTGAGCCACGTACATACATGCTGAGGAAGAAAAAAATGCCAAAGCTGTGTTCACAGGAAAGCAGAAGAATGAGGAGGCAAGCAAAAAGAAGCTGACACGAGATCCCTGGTAGACCACAAGAAGACAGCTTAGCTTTCGTTTCTGACTTGCCTGTCCCCTGAGGTCTGGGTGTCCTGTTTCTTGCCCTTAGGTGCCTGTGGAATCACTGGCCATGGGGAAAGACGTATGACCCAGGCCTGGCCAATCATTCTATCCCACCTTCCTGCTAATAATAATTGGCCCAGGAATAGGCATGTGACCCACGTCAGACCAATCAGAGTCCTTCTCTGGGATTTTGTATATTGAGTCCAAAAAAGATATGCTCTTCACTCCTTTTGGATCGTGTATAGTAAGGCTAGGACCCCAGAGCTTCTAGAAGCATGGCTGCTGCTGTCTGAAGGAAACCAAGGTATCACAGGAGCAAATGACAACAAATCCCAATGCCTTTTTAGAGTCAAGCCTGAAGCTCACTCCATGCTTGGCCTTCCCAGCAATGTGAGTCAATGCATTCTCTTTCTTGCTTACTCTAAGTTTAGTTTGTTTTTGGTCTCTTGCAACGAAAGAAAGCCTTCAGACTTGTGTTCAGGGAACATGTCAACTTAGGAGGATTTACCTAAAATCAATACATTATTCTACCCTCTTTTTATGTATATGTACATGAACAAGAACCCACTGAGACACAGAACAAAGAGGGCTGTGGTGGCCTTTTCTGATCCTTTCCTCCCCCGTGGTCCCCTCTCTGACCTCACCCCTCATGCCAGGGAGTCAGTCTGAATAGTCTGCATGGGCCGGGCGCGGTGGCTCAAGCCTGTAATCCCAGCACTGTGGGAGGCCGAGGCTGGTGGATCACGAGGTCAAGAGATCGAGACCATCCTGGTCAACATGGTGAAACCCCGTCTCTACTAAAAATACAAAAAAAAATTAGCTGGGCATGGTGGCGTGTGCCTGTAATCCCAGCTACTCAGGAGGCTGAGGCAGGAGAATTGCCTGAACCCAGGAGGCGGAGGTTGCGGTGAGCCGAGATCGCGCCATTGCACTCCAGCCTGGGTGACAAGAGCGAACCTCTTCCCCAAAAAAAAAAAAAAAAAAAAACTAGTCTGCATGGATCTAGCTGTTCCCAGGCCAGAGCCAAATCACTTGAGCTGCTGAGCCTGTCAATGATGGTACTTCCCTGTCTGTGTGGTTTGTCCCCCTCCCCAAGCAAAACGGGAACAGGTACCAAGTACTGCGAGTGGCTGGTGATCCTCACAGCCTCTGAATGAAGCTGTTTGTCCTGCCTCCACTGCCATCCAGCAGAGCCAGAGCTGCAGCTGACCCCTTCCTTTTCTTGGACATGACCACAGGTCCCAATCTTCAGACACGTTTAATCTCAGAAGTCCTCCAGGGCCAAAAATTTACCTCTGGATGTTCATCCTCATCCTAGTCCTGCTGTGATGACAAGATTCCTGGACCAATGGGAGAGACCAGGGCTGAAGCAATTACAGTAAAAAATGATGGGAGGGTTTCAGCTGACTTTGAGTTTAAGATGAGCCAGCCTGTGTGATAAGGTTTTTTGGGATTTTTTTGAGACAGTGTCTCACTCTGTTGCCCAGGCTGGAGTGTGGTAGTGCAATCACAGCTCACTGCAGCCTCGAACCCCAGTACTCAAGCAATCCTCCCTCTCAGCCCCCCAAGTAGCGGGGACTACAGGCATGAATCACCATGCCCAACTAATTTTTCTATTTTTAGTAGAGACAGGGGTTTCACCATGTTGGCCAGACTGGGCTCAAACCTCTGGCCTCAAGAGATGCTCCTGCCTCAGCCTCCCAAACTGCTAGAATTACAGGCTTGAGCTACCACACCACACCCTGATGTGGCTTCTTTAAAAAATAAAATTAAAAAGATGAGCTAGGTTAGACTAGAGCATTATGTCCAAATGATGTTTTAGGGATTCTCAGAAACTGTAACACAGGCAAAGGTGATGAGCAGTCAGGAAATTCAGTCTTTGAGGAACAGGAGAAAGACTTCAGGTTGATAAAGTGACATCTCCATCAACACTGAGGGCCTGACACATGCTTGTTCTCCATGAAATGGCCATGAAACCCCCACTCACAGGCTGGCGCATGGTAATCACTAAAGAGTGGACATTTCCTTCTAGCTTATCCGGTCCTCATTCATCAGAGGCAAAATCAGAGCCAATGAAAGGGCCTTACAGAGGAGCAGTTTTTATCACACTCTAAGAACTTTTTGACAATCTCAACCATGCAACAATTGGAATGATCCCTTTGTAAGGTAATGATCTCCCCATCACTATAGATATTCAAGCAGAGCCTGGATGATTAGCTCCCAGAAGTACTATAGAAGAAATCTCTAAATTGAATGGATGTTGGGCTTTGAGGGCCCTTTTTCAGTTCAATTACTTTGGCAGCCTCAGTATCTCACTCTGTGAAGTGGATGTGAGGCAATCCCTCTCATCTTTCTAAGTTTATGGATGTGGTAGATGGATTTTCCAAAGATGTGGTTGGTTGTGTTTCCAAAAATGGCTGCAGCAATATCTCTCATTCCACATGCTCTTCTTACAATATAACCTTGCCTCTTACCATGAAGAGAAGGAGGCTAATTCCCATCCTGTTCCATCTGAGCCCACTTGGGACTGCTTCCACCGATAAAATGTGGCATAAGTGACACTAAGTGATTTCCAAGACTGTCATAGAGACCCATGCAGCTTCTAGTGGCTCTCCAGCAATGCTGGTTCCTAGAATCCAGCTGCCATGGTGTGAGGAAGCCCAACTAGCTTGTACAGAGAGTTCACATGGAGAGACCAACAGAGGTATCTGACCCAAAATCCAGTCAAGGCCCCAGCTGACAGCTAACATCATTCACCAAAAGAGAAGGAAGACTTACTCATAACAACATTATTCTTGATAGCTAAAATATGAAAGCAGCTCACTTGTCCATTGATAGATGAATAAACAAAATGTAGTATATTCATGAAATGGCATATTATTCAGCCTTTAAAAGAAAGGGAATTCTGTAACACGATACCTCATGAGTGAACCTTAAGAATACTGTG